AATTCTTTATTTCTGCCTCCTAGGATGAACTCCCCTCAGTGTAAGCAACCTCCATCTCCAGGATCCGTATCAAGCCGCCCACGTGTTGCGCCAGCATCGCCCTCTTCTCCGAACGACCCATTTACTCGAGGAGGAGAGATATAGAGAGTCGCACCCTCGAAAAAGGACTTCTCCAGCCAGCAAGGAGGCAGGTCGTACGTCTCTTTCCCCGTTTCCTCAGTCAGGTCGACACTTCCATCAGCTTGCGGTCTCTTCGCCTTTAAAGAAACGACAGTGGGAGAGAGAGCGACTGTGGCCAGAATTGAGGATAATCCGCCTGACCCCGAGGAAGGAGATGGCCCTGCACCAACCTGCGCATCCTTCAAAGCCCTCCTCACTTGGGCAACAAGAGTCTTGGCCAAACGCTCTTGGACATGATTCATACTCTCTAAACAAAAAGAGTGGTCAGTAAAACGAGGAGTCAATAAATGACGATCACTTACTGCTATTAGAAATGTATATACCCAAGTATCTAACGGGATGCTCGCTTCCGAGGAGCTCCTTGACATTTATGAGGCCCGGGTCGTATACCAGCTCCCTGTTCTTATCTAACACAGGCCTACCCCCGACTAACTCGCTGAACCCGAGGGATTTGAGCCATGAACACGGTCAGAGCAGAAAAACTCTCCTGATCCTCGTCTCCGAGCTTCCCCTCTCTCCAAACATAGGAGCCCAATTCCCTGCTAAAATGCTTCCACGTCCATTGGAATAAGAGTTTATAAACCAGCTTTGCAGTAGGCTCCCCCACCTCGTTTAGACGGGGAGTCCCATCCTCGTTGAGCGATGGCACAGTCCTAAAAACGTTCAACATCGCCTTTGTCGAGGAGGGCTGCACCAAGTTGTACTTGTCTTTAAAGTGGAGGAAAAACTCCAATAGGCCTTGAATAACTTTCCATTGCCTTGCTTAAGGGAGACCCATCCCCACTTTCCGTCGACTTTACTCCTATGGATATGAAAGCAGTAGAAAAACATTGGAATCGTGGCCCCTATCTTCAGATGGTCATAGACTATCTCGAACGCTCGCACAAATGTGATACCATTTGGATGCAATTGAGAAGGAGCCACATGCAAATGCCAAAAAACGGCCACCTCGAAGTCAGAGAAGGGGAGGTGAAGACCCATCTCTTAAAAGACAATGTCATACATCGGGATCCGCCTCCTGTCATGCTTCGAGCAGATCCTGCTCTCTTTCCCAGGAATATATAACGACCATTCCCCTGGGCCCCCCTCCTCATGAGTATATATGTTTGTAAAGACATCCTCCCTGTGCTTATAAAAATACGACCGCCACTCCCAAGGGTCATTCACGACCCAATCCCGAGGATCCTCTTCGTCTCCAGGAGGAAACAAGCTTCCATGGTCCACGAAGGTCGCCCCCACTTTAGGCTCCCCCATTTCCTGTCTCGTCTGGTTCTGCATATCCCCAAAGATTTCCAAGATACTTGATGAGCTACTTGTCTCATCCGAGGAACTCCTGGAATACTGTGTAGATTCACTCAAAATAACGACCTGATCAGTATCAACCATGGCACCTGAAAAGCAGAAGGAAAATATGAGCTCGACATCAATGCCAGAACCACCCTTCCACCGCTAAATAAGCGAAAGGGCGCTAGGAAACGAGGATCACCTCCCTGACCAGAACCCACACTGAGGAAAACTAATGGGTATGAATTGTAGAAAAAGCCCTAAAACCTCATTGAGGCACACTAACGGGCATGAATTGCAGAAAAATCCCTAAGCCATAACGGAACCTTAAATCCTAACCATATGCGTCTCTAGAAGGGAAAAGGCGAAATTACCAAATCAAACAACAATGGAGGGTCAAAAACTTACCAGTAATAGAAGAAAAGATGAAAGTTAGCAGCTGTGAGCAGAGAAAATCAACGAACTCCAGTGGTCGACTGTCGAGCTAATATGAGCAGTGGAGAGAGAATGCGAAAAATACTAAACGCCTAGTTCCTTTCGTATTTAGAGCTGAGATAATTCGCGCGTGTAAGACACACGTCTGAGAACCCTAAAGTCATCATCATTACACCCTAGCCCTAGGCCATCATTACACCGCTTTGCCAGCACACTTCCCAAAACATGCTACCTCTCCAAATTTAAAGGTCCTAACGAACAACTCCTCGTCTCCCCGCAAGCAAGGCGTAACAGGCAACACTCATTTTCCCATAAGATACACTTCATCCCACGAACAAATTTAAAAGTCATCACTCCTGCACCCAGAAGCAACGACTTGGGGGGCTACTATTTTTGACTGGCCCGATAACTGGAATGGGCCCAGTCTAAGACATTTCCTTTGGTACGACCTGTACGACCTGTACGACCATGACCCATATTTCCCGCTACCTGTCGGGCAATGTCAGCTATTCTCCCTCCCAAACCAGCACTGACCTAGGATGATTGACGAGCATCCTCTTAGCATGCCCGACATTAACATCATGTAAGCCACCAGGAATCGACCAGAGAGATGCCTGTAACTAGCCCCCTCCTCGGAAACAACGACTAGTTACGAGCACATCTGCCCGGTTTGACCAAGTCCTATCAATTACCTAGTTTTACGAACCCGTATATCTAGGCGTGAAATCAGGAACCAATGGCTACACGCCAGGGGCATTATATATACCCTCACACCTGTGAGGGCTAGGTATCGAATATTCACCACTCACTACCTAATACTTTGCTTGTACCTTCTTGCTCTTGCACTTACTTGATCGTCGGAGTGCCTTGCAGGTACAACCCCCTTTTTTCTCCTCGACTTTATAGCCCGACTACAGATCATCTTCCGGCCACTTCACAGGTTCTGATCAATCAGTAAGATTAATTATAAACATGTCCCAGATGCTAAGAGGAAGAAGTTGGATGATAGAAACAAAGTGATGTTACTGGTGGGGTACCACAATACAAATGCTACAAGTTTTATCATCTAAAAACTAATAAAGTTGAAGTCAGCAGAAACGTAATTGTAAAAGAGCCAAAAGCATGGGATTGGAGCAAGTATCAATAAAATTTTGGTGTAGTGTCAACACCTGAGCTAGCTTCTGAAGATAATTCAGAAATTTCTGAAGAAGAGTCAGAAGATGATGCTGAAGACTCTGAAGATGAGTCAGAAACCGAAGGTGATTCTGATGGTGATTCTGATTCAGACTTTTGGAAGGGAAAACTCTGAAGACAAAGGTTATAGAGGATAAGCTTCTAGAGGTGATCATGTTTCTAAAGGTGGTACTTCTGAAGGTGGTGGTTCTGGACGAGGTCCAAAAGCTAACATATTTCCAGGTTCTGTAGAAGATTTATAACAATTTCAGAGACCACAAAGGCTTAGACAAATACCAAAAAGGTTTGCAGAGTTTGACATGTTGTAAGACACTGAAGTAGATTCTAAAGGAGAAGTCATTCAGTTGTAATGTTAGTAGATTCTGAACCAGTGGGTATTGAAGAAGCTCTCAAGAAGAAAATGTGGTTGAATGCCATGAAAGAAGAACTTGAGGCTATAAAAAGAAACAAGACTTGAGAGTTGATTAGGCTTCCAAAGGAGAAGAAAGTCATAAGCGTCAGATGGGTTTTAAAGGTAAAACTTAAGTCAGATGGATCAATTGGAAAGCACAAAGCAAGGCTAGTGGCTAGAGGTTTTCTTCAGAAACCTGTGCTAAATTACTTTGAGGTGTTTGCGCCTGTAGCTAGACATGAAACAATCAGACTAATAATTGATATAACTGTAAATAGGAATTGGCCTCTGATGCATTTGTGAAGTCAACATTTATGAATGGTCCCTTACAAGAAGAGGTATATGTGTCACAATCTCTCGAATTTGTGAAAAAGAATCAGGAAGAGATGGTGTACAAGTTGCATAAAATCTTGTATGGATTGAAGCAAGCACTCAGTGCTTGGAACTTGAAGATTGATTTATTTTTCAAGAAGCAGGGGTTTCAGAAATGTGAGATGGAATATGGTGTTTATGTGCAACATTCTGGTGGCAATATGATTCTGGTGTGTCTCTATGTTGATGACATATTGCTAACAAGGAGTTGTCCAGAAGAGGTAGTCAAGTTCAAAAAGGTGTTGATAAATGAGTTTGAGATGACTGACCTAGGAAAGCTGGTATACTTTCTAGGGGTGTAGGTATTGTACTTTGAGAAGGGTGTAATTTTGCATCAACTAAAATATGAACTTGAGCTTCTGAAGAGATTTAAGCTGCAAAATTCTAAGGCTGTTGTCACACCTTCAGAAACCAATCATAAATTAGATTCTGATCTTGAGGGTGACGATGTGGATGCTACAACCTTCAAACAGTTGGTTGGTTCTTTAAGGTATTTGTGTAATACCAGACCTAATATTTGCTGTGCAGTTGGAATGGTTAGTAGGTTCATGAGTAAACCTAAGTGGTCCAATTACCAAGCTGTTGTCAGGATTCTGAGGTATATCAAGGAAAATCTAAAGTATGGAGTATTATTCATGGAAGAAAGACTAGTTCAGAGCTGATAATTTACTCAGACTTTGATTGGTATGGAGATAGAGTTGACAAAAGAAGTACTTTTGAATACTTGTTTAAGTTTCTGAAAGATCATATTTCTTGGTGTTCCAAGAAGCAACCTGTTGTTGCACTGTCAACATGTGAAGTTGAGTATATTACAGGTGTTATAGCTGCATTCCTATTTATATAATAAAAAATATTAATTATTAGTACATGTTACCATACAAGATAAGATTTATATTTTCATATTGAAAACATAAAAATAGATATTTTAAATTGATATGACGATAATAATAATAATAATAATAATAATGGTACTAAAAAAACATACTTTAACTTGCAACAGTACAGTTCTAGATTACTATAAATACCATTTCTCTGCATCATCAAACCTCACACCTTCTCTCATTCTTTCTCATTTGAATTTGGAACAAAAAGCAGTTCCATTGTTGAAATCTTTTGAAGGTCTGTTTGAATTTTCAACAAAAAGATGACTGTAGGAGCAGGAATATCTGTTGCTGATGGCAACTTGACAGTGTTGGGGAAGAAAGTTCTGAGTCATGTTCATGATAATGTTCTTGTTACTCCTGCATCTGGTAGTTCTTTGCTCAATGGTGCATTCATTGGTGTTTCATCTGATCAAAAGGGTAGCCGCAAAGTTTTTCCTATTGGCAAGCTTGAGTACGTTCATGTCTCTCTGCAAATTTTCTGTTGTTATTTGATTATCTTAAGGATGTTGTGTTGACACAATGTGTGTGGTTTAAGGATTAAAGTGACCCCTTTTGGTTTTTGATGTTTATTATGTTTACAATTGTTAATATTCGAGATGGGTGACAAAAAGTTTTGATTTTTATTTGTGTTTTGTTTCAGGGGTTTAAGATTTATGAGTCTTTTTTGCTTCAAAATGTGGTGGATGACACAGAGAATGGGTACTTATGGAGAAGAAATCCCTGTTGAGACACAGTTTTTGCTTATTGAAGTACACAAAGGTTGTGATATTGATGGAGGGATCATGGATGGCGAAGAAGATCATGATGGTTCTACTTACGCGGTTTTGTTGCCTCTTTTGGAAGGAGATTTTAGGGCAGTTCTTCAATGGAATGATCGAAATGAAATTGAGATTTGTGTCGAAAGTGGTATGTATTCTTAATAACAACACATCATAGTATGGTAAATTTGTCGATGTCATTTTCAATGTAGTTCCAATATTCTCTGTGTCAAACTACAAAGACTAATTCTTCGAGTTAGGTAGGATTTACAATGTGCATATACTAATGTTTTTTTATGTATATATGGTGTTTGAAGGATGCCCTGATATGGAGGAATTTGATGGGACTCATTTGGTGTTTATCGGGGCTGGATCGGACCCTTATGAAGTTATAACAAATGCTGTCAAGTGAGTTTTACAATACTATGTTTGATAACAATATTCAGTCAATTGTACATACGTCTCTGTTCGCTCGAGTGACCTGTCAACATATCAGTAACAATGAGTCATTGATTTTTGTTTGTTTAGGACTGTTGAGAAACACTTGAAGACATTTTTTCATCGCGAGAGAAAAAAGGTAAACATCATTTTTCGCTCTTTAAAGTGAAAAATTCATGGCCTTATTGTATCTTAAAGTTCATTCATTACCTACTTGTATTATTCAGATGCCAGATATTTTAAATTGGTTTGGTTGGTGTACATGGGATGCTTTCTATACTAATGTAACTTCGGAGAATGTGAAAGAAGGATTACACAGGTTTTACTTCTTTCCGTTGAAAATTTATCGAATTTACACGACTTTTGCATCATATAGACATAAACATTTATTTGTGTTTTTATTTATTTATTTGTAGTTTTGAGGATGGTGGAGTTCCTGCTAAGTTTGTGATAATTGATGATGGATGGTGTTGTACCCCCAAAATTTGCCCTCCCATATTCCTCAAGATTTGTCAAGAATGATCTTCAAATTATTCAAGATGGCTCAAGGGTTGTACAATCAAACCACCTCCTAAGACAGTTGAAATTAGGGTTTTGGTTCTTTCAAGGAATTTGGGGTTTCCAATGGTTCAATCAAGTCTCATAGGCCTATATACATTCTCAAGCACCTACATGCCAAGTTTCAAGACTCACAGTGCCAATTTGCACAGTCAAAAGCTCCATTTGATCCACAGCCAACTGCAAGGGCAAAATGGTTATTTTGCAGTCAAAAATCAAAAATTTTGGTCAACATCTTATTTTGAGTTCACAGTCATCATTTGATCAATTCTTGATCATGATTCCACAAGAATAGCTCAAAAATCATCAAGATGCAAAAGTTACTATTTTTGGACAGCAGAAAAGTCAACTGTATCTTGACCAGGGCATAACGTTTTCATGGTTTGTCAGAAAAATTCCATCCAAATCTCATTTTGAAGAGAATTCAATTTCCTACAATCCATCTTCACACTCCAAGTTCAAGAAATGCTCTCACAAGAAGTTACCAATTTTGACATTATAGGTCAATTTCAAAAGTCAACAAAAGTGCACTTTGAGTCAAAGGCCATAACTTGAGATTGGTAAATCCAAATGACATGGGACCAAAGGCATTGGTTAGAGGATTTCAAGAGTTTTCCAAAATATCCAAGAACATGGTCATATGATCAAAATTGAGCAAGTTGTGCATTGGAGAAGTTGGGAAATTTTCATGAATTTGCAAAAGTCAACTTTGCTCAAAACACCTTCTTTTTGCTAATGGGCCTCAAATCTCTTCTTGAAACTTCATCCATGACCTATGCACGACCCATCAAGCTTAATTGGATTTATTTTCTTATTTTTATTGATTAAATGGATTTTTAATTAATATTAATTCATTTAATTAATTTAAATCATAAGAAAATAGAAGATTTGTTTTTAAAATCTTTTTGTGAAGCAAATATGACCTAAACATGCTGGCAAATTCGTGCACAAGTCAAAGATACAGAAAAATCCAATTTTGGCAAGTTTGTTCAATCATGAAAATCAAGGATATTTGATTTTTCAATCAAGGATTCAATCATCAATGCAATGGATATTGGCCCAGCTTTTTGACCTAATTTGTTTCCCTTATACATAAGCAAGCAAACCCTGGCCTGGTAAACAATTGAAAAGCTGCAGAAACAACCATAGCCAATTCAAGAAATTTCAAGAAAATTGAAAACTTATTCTTGCAATCTAGGCCAATTCAAGGCGTGTTATTCATCCAAACACCTTGCAGGAGTTCTCAGGAGTGTTTTGCAATCAAACTCAGACACTAAAGCTCAAAGAATTGTCGTATACAGAACCACGGTTTGCAATTCCTATTCAGAATTATATATCTTGATTCATGCGCATTTAACATGTTTCTTTGATTGTTTTGCATTGCTAGGAACCATACGAAGCTAATGGCATAATTTAATTGAGCTATAACGCCCTGAATCAAAAGATGCCATGATCAAATTTCTAGGGTTCTTGAGCTTTGAATTAGGGCTTTCTGAACCAGGGAAAATTGGGACTCATGAGATACATGACTGAACTCGTGTGGCCAAGACGAACATAACCCACCCCTCGCGAAATATTTATGCTTGCTAGATTTCTAATCACTATTTTTCGTGCAGCTAGATAGTGGAGGTTAAAAACCCCCGCTATCTGATTCTGAATATGCAGGAAAAACGAAGAAGATGATAAGGTGTTGGCATCTGAGTGGTTAATTTGAAAAAAGCGCGCGTTTGCTTTTATTTTACAGCGTTCTAATTGTTTTTCATATATAATAATTTCATCTCATTATGTTAACAAAGAAACGCGCTAGTTGAGTTGGCAAGCAGGTGGATGGAAAAGCTATTGGGACCTGGGTTCGAATCCCAGGTCCCCCAAATGTTTATTTGATTTTTTTCTTCAGGCGTTGTTGTGTAAGCTTGCAAAGGGAGTCTACCATATGCTTCAAATCTCAGCATGCCAAGTGGCTCCTGGCCAAATCTGAAGGCCAGGATGGAATGACTACCATAGTCCTTAGTCAACATGCGTATGGACGATCCAGAAAAGTCAAAAGGGCTTGCAGCGATTGGGCTTCAAATTTCCAAACACACCTCCTCTTTGGGCCCATCACCCCCTGGGTTTATTCTTTTTTTCCTTCTTTTATATTTTTTTTATTTAATTGTTTTTATTATTAATTATTATTATTATTATTGCTTAATTAACCAAATTAATTTTTTCATAATAAAATCAGAAAACTAAAATATAATATTTTTTTTATATTATCATTTATTAAAATTAACCTCACCATTTTATTATTTTTGTAAATAAATATAATTAACTAATTTAGTTTTTAATTAGGTTAATTTTGACTTTTTTGCAATAATTTAAAATCAACATAGAATTGGGGTTCTTGACAATTTCAATCATCTTTATTTTTATTTCCTTAAACATCAAAAAACCAAAAAATATTTCTTTTTATTAATTAATTAATCTAGGTTTAATTTAATTAAATGCAAAATAATAAAAATCTCTTTCTTTCTCAAAAAAGGGTCAAAACCCTAAAAACACTCCGATTCAATTTTCTCTCGCGCGTATGTTTATTTTATTCATGTTTGATCCATTATTATGTAATTGTTCCGAGGATGTAATAACTTTAATTAGGACCTTTTTTATCGCTTTCGTTTAATTTCCCTCAATTTACTTTTTCAAGGGTTTGTTTTTGGCGATGTAAATACCCGACGCCTTGTAATAGCTTAGTTTATTTTCCGCAATTATTAAACTGCTAGATGTATGCTAATTAGGCTATGCATGTGAATATTTCTCTTAAATTAAAATCAACATAGCTCACCCATGACATGTACAAAGATAAAATTAACTGAATAACAATACACTCGCACATGCCACTCTTAGGGTACACCTCACTTGGTTGCCTCGACGTGGTCATTGAGTATAAGGTGTTTTAGAGGTCGCCCTCCTGTCTAAAGATCAAAGTTGCCCCGATAAAAATGATCTAAGACATTAGGGTTACCGCTAAGGCGTCCTACCATTGCTTTAGTGACCACATGTCCCTATAATCGAATTGACCCGAAAACTCCAACGACGGTGCTACATACTTCTCAATAGTGGGATAGTACTGTCTAAAGGACATTTACACAGCTTAATTTCTTTTGAGTAGGTAGAGGTTCTCAGGTACTTGCTCTTTCAAAACAAAAATACTTTTCGCACTGACACTTTTCTGACAAAAGTTTTCAAACAACACTTCATACACTCTTGAGGACAGACACAAAAGTTAAATCGAAGTTTTCAAACAAAACTTTCAAAACCCACAAACACAAGAAAAGCAAAACATTTTGAAAACATAGTGAGCAAGTACCTAAGAGCCTGTGGATAACCACGGATAGAAAGGGTGCTAACACCTTCCCTTTCTATAATCTACCTCCCGAACCCGAGAAACATCTCGAAAAGGAATTTTGCTGTGCTTTTGTCCTTTCCTTGTTGGAGAAAATAAAAGACGGTGGTGACTCTTGCTTACCGCGACATTTTGCGAAACGCAAACGCGAACCAGCATTCTAAAAACAGTCAGTTCTATTTCCACCGATCACAAAACTGGAGACTCTGCTGGGGACTATTATAAGTGAGGTGTACCTTAGGATAAGATCACTTATGTTTTCAATTGTATTGCTCTGTATGCTTTAAATTTTGTGGGCTTGTATCGGAGTTCCATAGATCCTAACCCGGATCTGGGGATACCCTTTAGGTAAGTAGCAATAAACTGTGAGGGACCTGTCCGGCGTAGAACAACACAGGTGAAGTAGTAGCTACGTTGGTGTGACACCTTGGTCTGTACCGATATCCCTTGTGTTGGAACGAGGAGAATATGGGTCTTCTGAGGAGTCATTAAGCACCAACTGACCTTAGAACCTTAAATTGACCAACTTGGCCATAGAACAGTAGCAGTATGCTACACTCATTGAGGCTAAACTCTCGCGATGGTTTCGGCCGCAAGAAAAGGTTGCCAAACTGGAATTATGAACGATCGAGGGTAGTCAGTGATATTGAGATCCTCTAGAACCCGGTTACTATTTTTAGGACAAGTCTTAACCAACTGAAACTGAAAAAGGGTAATTCCTAAACTCCATGCCAGCCTAAACTTAAGGCTATATGTGTGACTTGTGTGCCTTCAAACTTGAACTACTTGCACATACTTGTTATCTGACAACATGGGTCCCTTGCAGGTTTTTGCTTACAGTACTTACCCAATAATTGGGACTCATTGCAGGGTTTACTTACATCACTTCATGCATAGCATACACATCATAACATCATACCATAGCATTTTCCTTAACCATTTCAAGGATCTTAAGGGTTTGTGATGCAGGTCAGGATGAACCAAATGTCCAGCAAGGGGCAAAGGGGATTTATTTTCCTCTAGCCAAGGTTGTTTGGAGATCAAAACACGATAACTTGAGTCAGGGGCTATGACCCACTCGATATGGTGAGCCTAACTCTTGACGAAGGACTCTCAACAACATGAAGTTCCTTCAATCAAGCTGTAAAATTCAAATTCTAACAAGTTTCTTGTTTACCCCGCGAGATCCTTGAAAACATTTCATACATATATCATACATATCATTGCATTACATGTACCCTCTTACAGGTCACTTACCTCCTTCGCTATTTATTTCAGCAATCATCATGTCTACTGAACCTTCCGCTGAACAAGCTATCAAGGCCCTCCAGGCCCAGAATGCCCAGTTCCAAGAGTTGGTTATGAGCCTAGCCAAGGGTCAACAGGATTTGAAGACCCTGATTCTGAAAGAGAGGAATAAGAAGAAGAAGAGGACCGTCTTGTTCAACATTGGACGCAGGTTTGGAAATGGACTGCAGAATGAGGTTGACCTGACCACCTCGTCTGTAGGGAAAGACAACCCACAAGAAAGGAGGGCTCCTAGTCCTGTGGTCTCCGACAATGAGACGGATTATGATGAGGA